GGCTAGTGAATCAACGCATTATCTGATGAGAAATGATTGGTGGCCTACTTTTAGTCATTAAATAGCTGTAAGGTGTACCTGTCTAGGAAAATAAGAACGATAAAACACCCTAGTGGTGATCCATGTAGTGGGTGCAAACCTTGGAGACCAAGGTTCAAATCCCAGCAGAAACAAAATACACTAGGTGATTTCTTCTTATTTGCCTAAGCAGAGTTACCGGTACTTGTGTTGGTGGGAGATAGTAGGTACCTGGTGCAGTAGTTGAAGTACGTGCAAGCTGGCTTAGACACCACCGTTATATAAAAAAAAGATCAATAACAAAGGAGAAAATATGTGTTCCACTTGCATAGTATCTTTTTGAAGTTATGTCACTTTACATATCTTAAGAATCATCGTGGGAAACTTATAAAGAAAATGAATCATTTAGGATAGCTACTTGTAGGCATACCCTTCTGAATGGAGCAGGATCAAGTTTTTCTTTTCATTCTCTCTTTCCTTTTGGTACTTACCTAAATCGTTGATCGGGAATCTCTCGGAAGATCTAAAATGTGGTGAAGGCCTGGAAGTATACATATTCTTTCCCGTAATTTTAACTAATTTGTCCCTTCTGGAGATTCTCTCACAGAGAGCTTTACACAGTTTTGCTCAATTTTTGTTTTTTCAATTTGCTTGATCCCATTTCATTATTTAAACTGATAAAATCCAAGCTTATGCAAGTTGACTAATTGCTGATCCCCTTCAAATGTGCATCTTATTTTCAACAGTACTAATTGATTAGTGAACGAGGAAAAAAAAGGTGCAAGTTGACAAATGGCTTATCTCCTTCTAATATGCATATTGTTTTCAACGATACTAATTGATTATGCTAAAATGGAAAAAATGTGGAGCTGCAGCATGTTCAACAATGCTTTTAGTGCATCTGAAATGCTAGGATTATTGAAGGCCATTTTCTCTGTGTTGATTATGTTTGGGACATCACAATACTTTGTCCATATAGCAATAGGCTTATTCAAAGACACCTTCAATATGACTTCTGTGAGTAAAATCATAAGTCTGTTCAGATAAGGTGTTGCATCCCGATCCGTTGCATTTCTGATGTCAGACTGCATTTGCTGTTGAATTTGCTGTAGGCTATATATCAACTCTGAGAAACAATGTGCGGTCACGTGCCTGGGGTGCTGCAGTTGGCTGCAGCTACTGTATCGAGCGGTGCTCTGTTGTGAAGGTGTGGATTGCATTCTTCTTTCCTTCCCTTCTGTTCTCTGTTTAATTCTTTTTTTTGGCTCAAAATTGTTTATATCGTCTACTTTATTTGCCAAACCTTTAGTTTTCAGATGATTTTTTTAGCTTTCTGGGATGGACTTACACTACTAGCAATTCTTGCCTGGAGTACATATCTACGTTTCTTGCTATTTTTGATTTATATATGCAAGTAAATTCCTTTTACAAGTAATGAATGTGCAGTTATATCTATGTGGAACTTTGTACTGACTCCTATACGACCTTTCTGATTATTTGTCATGCCCTTTAGAAAGGAGGTGGAACCATAGATCTTGAACCTTGTCTGACGCACTCCTCAACCTTGGAGCCTACACTTGCTCCCGTGACAGCAGAGCGCACTATGACCACTAGAGCTGCAGCTTCGGTATTATTCCACTCAAGTTGAAGTTTATTCTGCTTTGCACGTTTTTAAATATTATAAGACAAACAATATATCTTTTGCTTACTTTCCCTCTCTGGGAGCCTGAAGCTGTTTACATTGATGATGCTTAGCATTTGACTGATCCCTCCTCTTTTCTTTATAAATAGCATAATCAGCTGAGAACCATCTAGGTGGAGACTGTTGCCTCTTCTTTTCTTTATAAATAGCATAATCAGCTGAGAACCATCTAGGTGGAGACTATTGCTAAATTGTGTCTCTTCTCCATTTCTGTAGACTAATGCTAAACCCTTTTCAACACTATAGTCGCCAAACTAACATCTAACTATCTTGTCCACCCTTTTTTACTTTAAAAACGTGGATGCCTTGTCCATACAAACAGCTTAAAAGGTAAAAAAGGTAAGAGGAGGTTTGGTATGTTCATGTGAACGTGTTTTTTGCATTAAACTAATGATGCAACTGTATCTTAAAAAAATAGCAAAACTTCAAATGCTGAAACTTGAAAATTTCCACAATTTATGCCCTTCTTGGAGTTACCGGTTACTTCTATGATTGTTCGCGTAAACAGCCTAAGTACATCATAGTAGAATTCGAAAAAAAATTCTACCTTTATACATCATGTTATCATCTTATTTGCATTGCAACGGGATGCATTATGCTGAGATTACTCAGGAATAAGAGAATGAGCTCCATCGAGTTCTCGAACATTTGGCTTCTCATTAATTTGCATGAGTCACGGGAATGTTCATGGAAAACTCAATATGTCACATTTTCTCGTAATTGTGCGTAAAACTATGCAAAAGGTGATTTTAAAATGTTGAAAAGTGACTTGCTCTTGGTTTTGAGCTTCTGCTTGACCCAATGGTAATAAAGAGCTGCAAAATAACCAAAACCAACTCAAGTAGATCTTATAGTCTATTTTAGGTTAGTCATTGCAATCTGATGGTCATATCTTTTTGTTATTTATCTTTTCTTGAGGTACTGAAAGGAGAAGGAGATGTAACGCTATGCATTCTATTTTGATTAATAATCTTGGTTGTAGTGTGCTGTGGTATTTAAATTTTCCAATTAACTTAGCCTCAACTTGATTGTTGGTTCTCTCTCTCATTGTAGAATGCACTACGACAACAGAGATTTGTACGTGAAGTGACCATTCAGTTCAACTTATGCAATGAGCCTTGGTATGTTTATGATTTTCTGGATCAGCTTACTCTTGAAATAAATGGTACTTTTTTTCCTTTTCTTAAATCCAAATGACTTGTTAAGTGCAAGGACCCTTGGTATGGTACGATTTTCTGCATCAGCTCGTCCGTCAATTTTTTTCTGTTGTGATTTTCCTATTGGGTTCTGCTCATAACAAAAGGAGCTTTTTTTCTTTGCCAAAAGGAGTTATTTTTAATGCTTTTGGTATATATTTTATGAGTAACTTTTTATTCTTCGTATTTTCTAGTGGTTTATCTGAAAATATTTTTCAATATTATTGGGAAGAAGAACAAGGTAAATTTTTCTATGAAATTTATCTTCCTTTTTTTCCAATACAGTAATAGTTACAATATGTTGTTCTCTAATAAACCCTCCTCAAGACTTCCCTTCAATTTGCTTGAATGAAATTTCAATGGATCCATGAAGGCCATCTTACTATTGATTCCTGTAGTGTTCAGAGTATTGAGCATATAACTACAAGTGTGACTTTGAAGCAGTAAGATTGATTCGTCGGAGGACCATTTAGTTTTCTTTTTAACTGTATCTTAGGATGCATGGATCTGTGATTGGGACCTAAGGGTAGATAACGTCTTTATATTCTTGTGTCAAGCTCTTTCCATATGTTAGTAGGGGGGTTGTGAAGTATTGGTTGGAATATCAAGGATGAGCAATGCTACAGTATACTTGTCTTGTTCTATCCTCTGACCTTTAGTTTTGAGTCGGTAACAAAGTCGGTGGTTTGATCCATATCCTTGACAATTTAAAAAGTCCTATTTACCAGGTTGATTTACCTTGAGAGGTTTTGCTCTTTTGATAATTTAGCTTGATGAGCTGTTGCCAATGGTTTCTATTTACTTACTGTTGCTCGCTTCTTTCCCCAGGCTCAAATATAGTATCAGTGTTGTTGCTGACAAGGGTTTGAAAAAGCCCCTTTTTACATCTTCACGCATGAAAAAGGGAGAAGTTCTTTATTTGGAAACCCATACTCAAAGGTAACTCACTGGCTTCCCTCTTTTCTTACACCCTCCAAATAGGAGTGAAGAAAAAAATAGGAAGGCAAAAAAAAATCGATGAGAAAGTGACCGAAATGTGATTTTTGATAATTTTGCATCTTGTGCCTTTTTACTGTGGTCTTCGGTCTCCTTCACTCCTTGACTTGTTAATTAATCTGAAGGTATGAGCTCTGCTTTAATGGAGAAAAGATGGTAAAGGCTACAACGTCTCAGATGCATGAAATGGATGTTGACAAACCTCAAACTTACAACATACACGTGGCAAACGGAGAAAAATATGGAGCGGATGGTGAAAATATGATGGTAGATTTGTTTCGATGGTCCCGGTGTAAGAAGGCCTTGCCTCAGAAACTAATGCAATCAGTTGGAATTCCTTTGCCCCTTGAACATGTTGAGGTATTCAACCTTGTTTCTGCCCCTATTACGTGTTAGCATTATCTGTATAATAGCAAACACCATGAAGAGTAGGTTATTTGTGCTGTGAATACCAAAAAGCTTACATCCCTATTTAAGAAAATAGCGCTCTATTTCTCCTCTGATTGTTTTCAAATGTTACTTTTTCGGAAGGTTTTGGAGGAGAATGTGGAGTGGGAAGACATTCAATGGTCGCAAACTGGCGTTTGGATTGCTGGAAAAGAATATCCTCTTACTAGAGCACATTTTCTTTCCCCAAATTAGGCAATGCTTTGTATGGAAAACCGTAGGTTTTGGATATAATTTGTCTAGAGATAAATGTACTGGACTTGATACTGATTTAGAATGCTAAATTATGGAAGTTATGAACAAAACTATTTAAACAATGTGCATATGCTTCCTCCAGCTGATATGTTTCTCTTTTCTGTTTTTCCTTTTTGATGGTTTTCAAATTTTACTTTCCAAGATACTAAATCCCATATGCTTTACAAAATGCAGAATCAGTGAAATGTTAGGGGAAAAAACTGTATTAATTTTAGTTAGAACTTTCTTCCCTCACACAAAAAGACATTTTCTCGTCCCATTTCCAGATGTTCAAAAACAGGCCAGTGGTTTTACCCAATATGAAGTCATTCTTTGAGAAGCCCCTGAAACATGTATGCTTTCAAAATAGCTAAAATTAAGTAAAGTTTGCACATAAAAAGGCGAAAACCCCAAAACAAAAGCACCAGCAGAAGCAAATAACACCTCCAAATTCGGGCACAAAAAAAAGGAAAAAAGGAAAAGAGGATCATTCTCACAATTGAAGGATGAATCATGTATTGCTAGTGTTACTACTAACTATGGCAAAACAAAAAAATTAATGCTTTTCACTATGGCATGCACCAAATCTATCTTTTTCCATGAACACATGAAGCTATTCACAGGATAACCAAGGCCTCAACTTCAGAATAAGTTGAAAACCAAGCAATATCACCATGCGTCCCATTTATTGATAAAGTCATTCCACATTGCTGCTGTAATGGAATCTCTCAAGGCAGAGGCACTTTGTTCTTGTATTTGAAAAGCCAATTGTGGATCAGGCTGGTCATCTAAATCAGACGATTCTTCTACTGATGTTCCTTCAATGTCTTTAAACAACCAATCACTCCTTTCCTCACGCCGGATGTGATTGTGAATAACACATGCAGCTATAACAATGTCCCTTTGTGTGTTAAAAGCATATTGAGGGGCAAGTTTCAGAATTGGAAATCTCGTTTTCAGCACCTCAATAGATTTCTGAATGGCATTTCTGAGTGATGCATGCCGGTGGTTAAATAACTCCTTTGCACTTCTAGGTAATAGATTAGCACCCCGATATTCATGAAGATGACATCGAATTCCTGGAAATGGAGCAATAAATCCATCCATATTAACATAACCTGTATCAACAAGATAATATTTCCCTGCAACAGACAATTCGTCCACAAAATATCAACCACTTGTTTGAGTCTGTAAAAAAGAAAATGAATTAAAGTGAAGACAGAGTATTATGTTTTAACAATTATGAACAACCTTCAGGAATTGGAGGGAAGTTCTGATCGGGATCATCTAGGACAGCTCTCAAAACCCGTGAATCTGAAGCTGAGCCTTCCCAACCAGGGTATACAAATATAAATTGGAGATCAAATGTGCAAGCGGCCAACACATTTTGTGTCAAAATACCCTTCTTATTACGAAAACGTGATTGATCCTTGGCTGGCACATGAGCAGGGATTCGCATGCTATCGATCACACCAATGCAATCCTGAAATAACAAAGTCAGGTCAATAAGTCCATGAAAACGGAACAAGAACGAAGGGGGATTAGAGGCTAACCTCAAAATATGGGTAGAATCTATTACTTTCAAGGATCTGGAGAGGAGTGCTGACTGGAGGAAGTTGAAGGAACTCGCGGGATAACGACTTAATTGCCCTCAATACATTATTAAAATGCCTACTTATTGTTTCACCAGAGTGCTGATAACGCTCTTGTATAACCCTGTTACGTTCGTTGTGGCCAACAATGTTCAAGAAAATTGCCAATTGCTCCTCTATCATAACGCCAGGTGTGTCACGTAGCATGCCTCTTTGTCGAAGGATGCTACATAGCTTGTGAAAAACATGTTTATCCATCCTTAACATTTCCCGACACACATCATCATTGGCACTGAGTAGTTCGCTCAAGAAGCCAGACCCTTTAGGAGTTGAACTACGAGAAGGCTGCCTAGTTATACAATTATAATAGTGATAACCAGCAGCAGCAGCAACTAATTCCATTTCATCCAATTGTATGTCGACATCATCCATGCTTGGTGATCTCCGGAACGAATTTCAAAAAGTATTAACAGAAAGTCCTACATGGAGTCACATTTCATCAATTGATTTGTGAAATAATGGATCAGATCAATTTTTTTAAGTTGTCGAGTGCTTCACACAACCAAAATGAAATTAAAACCATTATAAACCAAATGTGTGTGAAACAGTCATCAATAATGAATTAAAACTAAATTTGCAGTCAAAATCAAAGAAAATCTTCTGTGTAGAAGCCAAGAACTTATAGAAAAGCATCAAGGCCCTTAAATTTCACCAATTAGCTGCACTTGAGGAAGTGTTAGGTTTGGCCCCTGCAACCATGCCAAACATTCTCACAAGATGAAAGTTTCTCTAGCACTTGGATTCTCAATTATATCCAACATACAAAATAGACATCTTGATCAACACCTTTCATCCCATCTAATACTTTTACACATTTGCTCATAGCTTGACGCAACTTCATAGGTTTCAACATGAATCACCATTAATAGGCTTTTGCGGTTTTGCCTTCACTTACATTCATAATAAATACTGTGTGTGAAGAAAGCAAGTTTTTTGGAGGATGCTCAACGAGGTTGGATTAAAGGAAAATAATTTCAAGAAAGAAACAGAAACGGACAAGGTTCGCTTGATAATGTAGCTTCCCTCTCTTCCAGTATTTGACAGCAAAATAGCAGCAACATGAGGTCCTTTTCCCTTGCATAACCACCTTTGAAATGACAAAGAGCTTTGTGGGTTCCTTACATTTCTTTTTATGAACTCACATACATTATCTTTTCATTTTCAAAAAAAAAAAAAAAGTATTTCTTTTTATGAACTCAAAAGCTATGTTGCTCGGACTCGGGTGCGGATCTAAAGTTCGGATTCTTCAATCACAAAAATTTTATGATTCGGGGGCGGATTCAAGTAAGGCTACGGGTGTTGGGATTGCCACTGAATATATATATTACAACATGTTAAGTAAATACTTCGATCAATTAAAGTTATTGATCTAAAACTAATTAAATTTAGTTCTTTATAAACACCTAAGATTTTATTCATAACATATCTTGTGTAATAGCAAAGCGTTCTCATACTTTATATATATATAAACCCAAAGATGAAACCAAATACCCAATCAATGTAATACTTCTTGGTCAAATATGTAGTCAAAGCATCCAAGGTAAGCTGACCAAATCTGGTGGATCCTACACCCACACCCAAATCGTGTTGGATTGACATGGGTGCGACAGAGATTTTGAAGAGTCCGAGCAACATAGCTAAAGTACAGACGGAAAGGTTGGGTGAGGTCTAAAGCTTACTGAATTCTTTTACCAGAAAGAATGCGATATACTAACCACAATAGAGCCTTCTAAAAACAAAACACTAACCAGAACAGAGGAGTATCAAATCTATAGCTTAATTTAGGTACAGGTCTCTATGGTTTTACTTTTTCTTCCCTTTTCCATAACAAAATCAAGAATCAACTCTGGGTACGATAGACTCCAAAAAGCTCTGGAAGAAAATAAAAGGCTTCCGCCAACTAAGAAGTCACACTAAAACAACATTAGACATAGCCTCATGCATCCGATGGTAACATTTTACAGAAAACGGCATTCAAAGATAATTAAATACACTGAATATTAATCGACAAACAATGTCCATAGTTTTTTTTTTTTTTTTTTTGCAGAAACAGAACACCGAAAAACCCTCCCTTATTTTCAAATACAACTACACCTTAGCCTCAAACTATGTTGCTCGGACTCTCCGAAAGTGTCGCCGGTTGTGTGTCGGATCCTCCAAAGCAGTATATTCTTGGAGGATCCGACATGGGTGCGGCATCAATTTTTGGAGAGTCCGTGCAACATAGGCCTCAAACAAGTCGGGGTTGGCTATGTGAATCCTCACTATGTTCCTCCATATAAAAATAAAATAAAATCTCCCTCATTTTCAATTTTTATTTTTCTGGTTTTCAAATTTGTTGTTTTATCTCCCAAGAAACCCAATTTGCATTCCTATTTCCTGTTCCACATTTCATTGCCCTAAAAAGTGATATAAGCACCTAGCATAAACAACATAACAGATGGGAACCAAACATACAACAAAAAGTAAATTAAAACAATTCTATTTCAATAGGATCCCCAAAAACACAGAAAGATATATAAAACAAAACCAAAAAAAAAACAAGAATTGGGGCGAATGTAGCTTCGAATTAGACATAATACATAAAATTAGAGTGTAACAAGTGGCATATGTATTATAAGCAAATTGAAGAACGAATCAAGAAAATAGTAAAACGAAAGGAGAAATAAAGAGAAAAGGCTCTTCAATTACCTGAGAAGAAGATGGTAATGGTCGAATGGAGAATCGAAATGTGTAAAGTAGAAGTAAAGAAGCAACCTTTATATGAGAGCAAAACAAAGTGTGTTTGGGGTTTTAGAAGGACAAGAAGAGGGAATTCAAGGGTTTAAGGTGAGGACCATAGGACACAAGTACAAATTATTTGGAGAAAAAGCCCAAAAAGGATCGTTTATCTTTTTGGGGTTTACTTTAAATGGGAAAAATATTTATTTAATGTGGCCTCTTCACCTCTCTCTATATATATATATATTGTTTTTTTGTCATATTTTTTCTTCTTTGGATCTCTATGCTTCTATTCTCTTTTCTCGTCTTCTTTTTCTTTTCTTCTATGACCTTATGTAGATTTTGAACACCCTTGACCACTAAACTACACTTTTGGATTGTGTTAAAGGTGTTCAAAACTTAATATATAGAGATAAAAAACAGATTTTGCCTTATATATATAGTGTAATTTTCCGGCGAAGCGCCCCCTAAATCCGCCCCTGCCGCCAGCCATTGAAAGCCATCAAAAAGCTTCAAAGTTTTGATTTTAAATTCAAATATCTTTAAATTAGGGTGTTGTTGCAAACGATCAAGAATATTTTTGGAGTTTATATCTCAGTTTTGAGGGTGTTTGGTAAAGATTATTGTTGATTTTGGATGAATTTTCAAATTGAAACTCGAAGATAAAATAATATATTAAAATTGTATTACAGTTGTATGAAATTTGTTCTGTGAATCCTCGATTGAGTTCTTCAGTTTATCGACCCGCTATTTGATTATGTCGCTCTCGTAAGGGGGCTGATATTTCTCTTGTTCCAAAGCACCTATCTTTTGTTTCAGTGATTTGATAATGTTTAGTTGTTTATATACGTTGCTTTTCATCCCAAAGCTTGATCTTGGGGAAATAGAAATATATATTATAGTTGTACTTTTTCTATAATGAAATTTGTAAATAACTGGTAAATTTTCTGTATACTGTGTGAATAGCTATATGAAATTTGTATTGAAGTTATAAATACTCTAATTTACATAAAGCTGCATATATATTAAGGGGATCGGGGAGATCGACGAGGATGTCACACACTGCATAGGGGTGGGGTGGATGAAGTGGAGGTTAGTGACGGGAGTCCTGTGTGACAAGAAAGTGTCACCGTTACTAAAAGGTAAGTTTTATAGAGCAGTGGTTAGGCCTGCCATGTTGTATGGGACCGAGTGTTGGCCGGTTAAGAACTCACACATCCAGAAGATGAAAGTAGTAGAGATGAGGATGTTGAGGTGGATGTGCGAGCATACAAGGATGGATAAGATTAGGAATGAAGATATTCGAGAGAAGGTGGATGTGACCCCCATAGAGGACAAGATGCAGGAAGCAAGACTCAGATGGTTCGGGCACATTCAGAGGAGGAGCACTGATGCACCGGTGAGAAGGTGTGAGCGACTGGCTGTGGTGGGCACGAGGAGAGGTAGAGGGAGACCTAAGAAATATTGGGGAGAGGTGATCAGGCAGGACATAGCGCGACTTAGGATTACTGAGGACATGGCCCTTGACAGGTAACTGTGGTGGTCGAGCATTAAGGTTGTAGGTTAGGGGAAAGTTGTGGATAATTCTACAGTGCACTAGAGTGAGATGCTACTGATCAACTACTGATGTAGGGTTTATCTGTTAGATATTAGTATACCTTCCATCTTTTTCGTATTTCCTATATTTCTTATATTGCTGCTATTTTGTTATTTATGTTATGTTATGTATTTTATGTTATTTTATTATGAGCTATTGATAGTACTAATATATCGTCTCTCGTTGCTTTCTTGAGCCGAGGGTCTCCTGGAAACAGCCTCTCTGCCCCTCGGGGTAGGGTAAGGTCTACGTACATATTACCCTCCCCAGACCCCACTTGTGGGATTATACTGGGTGGTTGTTGTTGTTGTTGTTGCATATATATTAAATTTGTATTAAAATTATATTATAGTTGTATGAAAATTACATTTAAGTCGTGTGTTTTTGTATTTGTATTAAAACAGTATGACTATTGTATGGAATTGTAAATAAGTTGTAAATAATTCTATATATTATATAATTCGTTGTATAATTATTATTTTTAAGATGTATGATATTATAGATGTATTAACAACAACAACAACAACAACAACTCAGTAAAATTCTACTAGTACGGTCTAGGGAGGGTAGTGTGTACGCAGAACTTACCCCTACCCCGAAGGGTAGAGAGGCTGTTTCCGAAAGACCCTCGGCTCAAGAGGACAAAAAGACAAAAAAAGACAATATCAGTATCACCACAGAAATCATAGGAAAAATAGAAACAACATGAAATCCAGAAGAAAGATGTTAGGCAAAAGCGATAGCTAGTACATCAGTCCGGCACTTTTGTCATAAGAAATTTTATATTATTAGACTTTTGTCAGTTGTTGAATTTATATAAAATTGGTACAATTTGGCAGCTTGATAACCAAAATCAATTGTACCAAATTTATATGAAATTGTAAGTTGTTATCAAATTTGCTATTTACGAAGATCATTGCCAATTTCAACACCCTCAATTACCTCTGCCTCGCTATTGTTGCCATGAATGAAGAAAAATAAGCTATTTTGCTAGAAGAAGAGGGAGAGAGGATATGAGAGATGCTAGTAGAAGAAGAAGGAGAGATGAAAGCAGAATAAGGAGGGAGAAAGGAGATGAGAGAAAATAAAAGGAAAGGGAGCAACTGAATCCCTTAATTAACACACTAATATGAATTATATATAAATTATGGAAAAAAATACAGTTATAGTCGATAGATTTGAAACTTTAGATAACTTTGATAAATAAGTTTGAATTAAGATGTAGGAACGAAAAAAACCCTTTACAAAAGTATTAGTAACACTTTTGATATATACTCAGGGAGATCATGGAAAATGTTTAACATGCTTCTAATATTGTTCATTCCTTATTTAGAAAAGACTAGTTTTAGTGTTCGTGCGTTGCGCGTGTTCCCCATCTTAACGAGTAATTTTTTAAGAAATTACATATTATTTTTAAAATTATGTTTGAGTTATAAAATAAGGTGTAAGCTTCTGAAATTGATGAATATTGATCCTATATAGCTAACTCAAAAAAGGAAAAAAAAAATTGTTCGTGAAAGTCCTCAAACATTATTCAATATATTCAACTTAGAGTATGTTCTAATTTTATTATTTTATTCGTTCAATTTCACAAGTTATCATATTTCCTTCTTAGTTTTAGTAAAAAAACACACACATAGGCGTTGATGATTTAAAATCTAAGAGTTTTTCTGAAATAGATAGATTTTTATTACGATTCTTAAAGATTTATCAAATAACATAAATTAAACAATCGAATTATATGTCTTCTCAGTTTATCTCTCTTCAAAGGCTTCAATGTTACCCACCTAGTAAGGTTTTAGTTGTTGAAATAATAAAAAATATTATGGTTTGAATATATTTGTAAAAATATGCGCGAGCAAAGAAACATTACTAAAACATGAATTTAATAGTGCCAACAAATTACTATAAAAAAGTTAAAAAAAATCATTAAGAGTGTGTATACGTATTAATTTAGATATATTTTAAATATAATTTATTTTAGAGTCCTAAATATTTGGACTTCCTGCATATTTCAAACAAGAAAATAGTTACGCAAAATTTTAATTGATTTTAATTTTAAATATTATTAAAATTTATTTTTATTCAATATAAAAATTATTTTTAAAGAATAAAAATTTGATCAACATTTCGTGTAGAGGTTTCATGCTTTTATAATATAAATTTAGGCTTGTACGATTTATTATAATTAAATATGGTATCAAATAATCATTTTGGGTGCCTAATTGAACATGTATTAATTTCTTTGTATGACTAAAATGACTTCTTTTTTAAATGCATATTTAATTATTTTATGTTGAAATAATTTTAATTTAGACGTTATTGTATTAATAATTTTAACTTAATATGTGATTTTATGCCCCCATATTTTAATTTTTTAATCAGAAATCAATTGAAGTCATCATCGTTCTCATCCTGATTTTATAAGTATTGCACAAAGGATATATTTTTATTAGTAGAATTTATATAAGATAAAATATTTATTGATTTTAAATTTCACTTCTTACCCATTTTAATAAGGAAAGATATAATCAAAATCTTACATTGATTTTAAAGTCCTAAATGGTAGGAAACTAACTTAAGCTACAAACATGTCCATTGTAAAAACTAATTTTAAAGAGTAAAAAAAACGAATAACATTTCGCTAATGATCTGCGTATTTTTAATATAGAGTATAAATAGATACAATCGAAGTTCCTCTCCAAATTAAATTAGAAGCCCTAAATCAAAAGTAATAACCTAATTGTTCAACAATTCTTTTGTAACTGCATTCTAAATTGATCTCTTAAGCTTCACATTTTTTTTTTTATCTTCCTTTGTTGCTATACTGGGTATGTTGTTTTTGTTGTTATTGTTGTTGGTGCTGCTAGTCCAATAAACATAGCCCTGAAAATGAGGCAATTGATCCATATTTGGGTGGCCATCGTGAGGGGCGGAGATGCGGGTTCGGCCGAACCCAATAACTTTTGTTCAAACCATGCATTTGTCTTAAGAAATCTATTGAATATGTACAGTTTATTAATTTAGAATCCAGTAACTTAAAAAGGTTACAATTCAGAATCCATAAGGTTCAAATTCTAGCTCCGCCTCTGCCACCATGGGTTTAAACTTTGCCATGAATAAAAAAGTTTATATTTAAGTAAGAAAAATAGAAGCACGGACTCATCATATGTGAAATTTCGAACTGATATTCGAAAATTTCTCAATTATAAGAAAAAGAAAAATAATTGCAAACTTATTTTTGGTTAATTTTGAATGTAGCATGCCAAAGTTGACTTTCCAAGTTGGCACAAACAATATTTATGACCCTATGGCCTGTGGGAACTGTTGTGTTCTTTTCCGAGCCACACGTAAAAGAAAAAATTGGAGTATACAAAAAATTTAAAAAGAAAAAAAAAACAAAAGGAAATTGTGGCAGTTGAGTTATTCTTGACCTTGTTTGGTTTTTCTCCGTTTGGTTATCCAACTCCAAGGGAATATAATAAAATATCAACACCCAAAAAAGAATACAAATCTTCTTCGTCATTCCTCTTCTCATCTTTCAAATTCTCTTTGTTCTCGCCGGTCGCCGGAGATTCAATCGGAAAATTTTTCAAGACGTTTATGGATTGCAGAAGCAAATCCCTTTCAGCATCGCCGTCCGCCGCCAACAATCAATCTTTGCTTCTTACGATTCTGCAGTTTTCATCTCAGCTCTCTAAACCTTCATTCACTCCTTTTACCCCTTGGATACGATACCTTCCGTTCAGTTTCTCCTGATTTCTCTATCTCTAAAGGTATATTGACTATCTTACCCTTGATTCCTGCTTACTGTTCAAACTATTAGCTAAAGGTTGGATTTTTACTGCTTTTTTAAATGAACAAAAAGAGTGTGAGGCTGTTTCTGAATGGTGCAAAGGTTAATTGTATCGTTCTCCTAAATTTGCGCTAAAGGTAGAATTTTTACTGCTTTATAGAACTGCAGAATGTATATTGACTATTTTACCCATGATTCCTGTTTACTCTTTCAAATTTAGAATAATAGTATATTGAAACAGGATGTAAGTTAATTGTAGTTCTCCCAAGTTTGAGCTAAAAGTTGGACTTTTACTGCTTTATCCAAAGAAAGAAAAGAGTTGGATTTTACTGCTTTATCAGAAGAAGAAAAAAAACACGAGTAAAGGTTGGATTTGTACTGCTTCTCAATGATGCAAAGGTTTTGAAGTTGTTAAAATTGTAAACTTAACTGAAGGTGATTATTATAGGACATTAACAAGAATATATGCTAATTGTTGTTTTCCTAAATTTTAGCTAAAGGTTGGATTTTTGCTGCTTCTGAAAGCTGCAAAGGTTCTGAAAATGTAGAAAGTAAATGTTTTTCAAGGTGATTATTGTAGGAGATAAGCTTTGTAAAGATGATTGGTTTTAACTTTTATGTATGTAAGTGCAATGGTAAATACTGTACTGCTTTAAATCGAATTTTCGTCCTTCAAGTATGGTTGTAGAACTTATTTGAGAACCAACATAAAAAGAGTCTTAATTGGATTAAAGTACTAAAATTAATTTACATAAATAAGCTGATCAAAAGGTCGTAAGAGAAAGGCCTCGTGGTTAAGGCATGGGAGTAACAACCTAGAGATGTCAAGTTCGAATCCTAGTTAAAACACTTGGTGAACCCACCTATTCTAACCTTGGTAGACAAGATTACACAAGCAGCCTATGCTTGTGGGTTGGACTGGATGTACAACAACAACAACAATGATCCAGTAAAATCCCACAAATGGGGTCTGGGGAGGGCAGTGTGTATGCAGTCCTTACCCCTACCCCGAAGAAGTAGAGAGGTTGTTTCCGAAAGACCCTCGGCTCAAGAAGACGGAAAAGACGAGAAGAGAAGGGAAGGGACAATGTATGGTGAATTAATCGAGGTGGTCATAAGCTAGCCATGACACCATAGATATTAAAAAGGAAAAAAATGTAGACTGATCTAAAGTGGAGAGCTTATGATGGTTGGTAGTCTAGAATAAATTTGGACCTGTCAAAGTTGAACATTGTTTTTTAACCGCCCTTATATGCATGTGTTACATTTCTAGTTCTATAATTCTAGCTTTTGTATGTAATATAAGTTCAAAATTTTGTTGCAGTTTAAACTCTTTCAGGGAAGCTATCATATTTTCCAAAACCTGGAGCCTAAATTTGAACTTGAATTAAAGAGACACTATCTGAGTTACAGCCAAGAAGAGGAGGTGGTGTGGCACTTTAAATGATTTAAGTGCTTTCTATGTGCAACTAAAGATGGCTGCTTCTACAAGTGTGACAAGTCCTCTACATAGGAAGATGTCTGGGAGGAGAGCTAAGACTTCTGGTTGGGCTGCATTTGACCATAACGAGAGACGGAAGCAACAAGGTCTTGAGCCAGAGCCTGAAACAGAACCCTTCCCGCTCTTATCCGTTCCTACCACTTCCTTAAGTGGTCCATCTCAAGGCATCGGAAAGAATAGTGGAGCAGTGCTAGAGAAACCTTTTTCATCCCTGCTGCGACCATCTGTAAGTTTTCCATCCTTAATGGCTACTGAAGGGTCTGATGCTAATCAAATACAAGTTGGCACTTCTCATCTCCACCATGGTGATGGTTTTATCAAAGAAAGAGGTTTTCTTGAGGTGTGTCAAAAGCTTAAGGAGCTCCACCCCTGGGCTGATGACACCTTGATTGCAGATGTCATGGCTGGTGTAAATGATTTCAAGACGGCCTTAACATTGTTGGAAGCAATGATATCTCCTGATCATACATACGTTGCGCATGAAAACAGAAAAACCAAGGGATTTGATATTGACAATTTTTTAACTCCAAAACAAGCAAATACTCCCTGCGTGCAAAAGTTTAAAGAAGGAGAGACAGATATTAAAGGTGTGAAGTCTAATAATGAGGCGTCTCTCGCAAATAATAGTAACTTTGCTGCTAATAAAGGTGTGTCATTGACCGACAGCGTGAATCTGGATGACTTGAGTCATGTGTTCGTTAAGTGTCTTCAGAGCAGCAGTCAAGAACTAATAAACAACTTTGTTTCTAATGAGAACAAACTTCATTTTGATGGAGCAGCAGGGAGTCTGGGGTTTATACCAGTTGAGCCTGAGTGGGAAGAGGATGATATTTACTCAATCCATCGGAAGGACGCGATGAAAATGACGAGGTTAATTTTACTTGCACTTGTGTATGGGCAATTTCCTTTAGAATGATAATATGATTAAACGACCATTTCTTGCTTCCCTTTTTTAATTTCATTTAAGATTGCCAGGATGGTTAATAATGAAGATAAGGATAAAGTATACCAGCAGGTGATCAAGCATTGGCTGGGTTTTGTTCATGCCAGTAACTTGATTGAAAAAACGAAACCATTAAGATTTTAGCCAAATGTGTTAAACTGTGATGCTTTGTTTTTCTTTCACAAAAAAAACTTTGATTCTTGTTACTGAAAGTCTGAACCATGCACCAATTTGAAGTTTTGAAAAAGAAATAAGACAACATTCGTGAGAGGAAAAAGAATTTAACACCCTTTTCATCTATCCTCTCCTTTCTTTTACCTATCTCCAGTATTAACACCTTTCTCGAAGTAAATATAGAAGCAAGTGGAAAGACGGGATGCAGACAATTTACAGCTAAAACACAATGATAGGGCACAATCTAGATATCCCACTATTTAAATACCAAAGATTTCGATCATCTATTGATACAGATACTTAGCGGGGAATATATTTAAAATTCTACAGGTGCAGCCGTAGTCCTATTTATCAGGGAGCTAAGACCGGTAGCTTGAGTTTGTGTTTCATGAAATCTTTTATATTACATACGTGTGAGACTGTGGTAGTTGGTGAATCTTTCTTTTGTTAGTGATATTTCTCTACTTGAGGTGATACTCTCTCTAAGATCCTGTGAGCCAAAGATGTCTTCTCAAACCTCGGCCTGGTTTGTTGTCAAATAAAGAATTATTCATATGTGGCCTATTTGGAGATGGCATACTTAAGTATGAAATATTGGGAGAATTTTAGTGGCCAAACAACTTCAATAGCAAATATCGTCTTTGAACAAACTAAGTTATGCAACATAATATGATGAAACAAACCATCTTCGTTCTTTGTTATATTTTCATTGCAACCGTAATTTTTGTAAGTTACATGCTTTTGAACACGTTAAGCTCTTATCCTGGTTATTATTAGATAAATTCTGAGATCCTCTCTTCTTCTATAAACAGGTCAGCGGCTCGAAACTCTAAGGCTGCCAGTGACGCCTATCTCAGAGGTGACCACTTATCTGCCCAACATTTTTCTCTAAAAGCCCAAGAAGAGTGGGTTGTCGCTAAAAGGCTAAATGCCCAGGCAGCAAAGGAAATTCTGAGTGTCCGCAACTGTAAGAATGATGAATGGACATTCGACTTGCATGGTCTTCATGCAACAGAGGCAGTTGAAGCTTTACAAGAACATTTGCAAAAGATTGAATCTCAGGTGAATTGTGCTGCCCATATGAATCAAGTGAACTTGAAGTCCAGCTTTGGAGCTGCTGTATCTGTTGAAACTTCAGATCGTATTGATGTGGATAATGAGAGCAAAGGGTCCCTGATGAATAAGCAGCGACCAGCTTTCTTGGAGGTCATAACAGGTATTTTCCTCTTGAAAAGTGTTGCTCAAGGATATGATACATCTTATAAGTAGAGATGTATTCACCAGATACATGTTCTTCAATGTGGTTGTAGTTATAAGTTGCGTGTTTGAACCTGTTTTTACTTCTATCTGGATGACTGTCACTTCACCACTCACTCTATATCTTTAGCTCTAGGCATTCTGTTGCTATCTGGAAGTATTGTGAGAATGGTGTGTTTTCTAAAAATGTTGTGCATTAGTTGCTTTTACTAGGAAGATTGAGTAGCCTGCTGTGACTTGCTAAGCTTGATACGTGATGAATCACTGTCATGGAGCTCAATTTATACATGTTATCAGGTCATAGCATCATGTACATAAATGAGTTTGTAATCCTTCCCTTAATAAAGCATACTTGTTATGTTGGTCATTCTTCCCAGTGTGGCAAAACTTCTCATGGATCGTCATTTGTTTTTAACTTTATTTATTGGAGCATCTTTTGTTACTAGTTTAACTGATTTACAAGCATAAGGTCGTCTGAAGTGTTGCTGTATACAATTAAACAGGTAAAGGAACTCATAGCCGGGGACATGCTGCCCTTCCATTGGCCATAAGAAGCTTTCTCATGGAGAACGGGTATTATTCTCTTCCTTTTAGACATACAGGTCTTCCAAGTGCTCTAGTTTGTGCGCTTCTAATTTTCTAAGTCAATATTTAGCAAATGTTCACTTTACCCAGTCAAAACTAAATGAAGCATGAATATTATGTTCTGCAGATATCGTTATGAGGAGACAAGGCCGGGGGTGATCAGAGTTAGACCCAAGTTCCGACCACAATAAATTAAGCTTATGGCTCCCCCCCCC